TAAAAGAGTGAGCTAATTGACCACAAAATATAATATTGTTTTCAACGTATTGATCGTACATTAAATGCTACATCGGAACTAGAGGTGGCAAAATGTGGACCCGAGGACCCGGTCCAAAGAACCAGTCTGGACCCATATGGGTCCAGACCGGTTCCTGAAAATTTTCTGACGGGTCCAACCGGGTCCTACCATAAACTGTACATCTTGCACACTACACATTATTGCAAAATATGAAGTGAACGTTTCTTGGCACACAGTAGCTCATGAGTACTCCCAGTGGGAAATAGGCTGCTTTACATGTTGCTACTAATGATACCTACAAGTAGTTTGTATTAATTGACTTTTGGGGAACCGGGTCCAACTGGTTCCGATTCCAACTAAGGCCGGGTCCGACTGGTTCCAGAAATGTCCAGCCGGGTCTGGTTCGAGTCTGGTTCCCAAAATTTTCATCTTTTGCCACCTCTAATCGGAACATCCTACATGAATCCACCCGTAGTCAGGGTGGTGACGTCATCAATCCGGCTCGGTGTCCAGCGGCCCGCACTCCCTTCACACCGCGCCGGCCGCCATTTGCGGGCGCCCCCGCGCCGAGCGGGCCGGCCGGCGACTGTGCGCCGCCGCCTGGCCGGAGCGCCCCCTCCCTCCTGCGTGTCCTTCTCCCACTACGCATTCCGAGGGGTGAATCGGCGCGGCGGCTGGCCGTCAAAACACATGGGACCGGCAGCGTGGCCGCCGAGCGAGAGACGGTCACTGGGGCGCTGGAGCCCATTACTTGTCAGTGAGGAGCACTATCCTTTGTCGGCTGTTGGTGATCGCAATTGCTATCAGTGACCTAATTAATTCATACGTCATAATTTTCGTGGCATGAAAAGATAAATTAAATCGTATGCAAGAACAGCAACACCATAAATATTAGATGCACGCTAGCCGAAGTAAATAACATGTATATTCCTGTGAGAGAAAAGTACCGATGTTCATTTTAACAGACAAGAGTCGTTTTCCATTTCATTAAATCCTAGTTATTTCTACATGAATAGACAATAGCAGTTGACGTTAAGCAAAAGAAGAAGAACAACAACAAAACATAGGTATTTATGCTTTCGGAAGCGAAGAATAATCACAATGGATGCGTTAATTAACCAGCAACCCTTCAAGGACCAAATCAGGAATTTATTAGCATGTGTGCCAAATTCTATAGTCGGTTGCTAAGGATAAGAAATAAACAAATCTCTCAGGCGTACAAAGAGCTGATGAATTGGTCTCGCTCTGAAATGTTTGCCGGGAATAACTCGATTAACTGCTGAAAGTTCCTAATGAATATCGTCGTCAATGCATACCAAAGATAACGGAAACCTTATCTCCTAACAAATGTTTCTGGATAAAAAAGCATTAAATAAAACAGTGCAAAGATATACCACCTGAATAAGCAGTGTCAGATCCGTGTTTCGCTGTCGTACTCGCGGCTTCCCGTGACATTCCTGGGTTTCCCGTCATATTGATCCATCATCAACACATCCTCATCAAAAATGTGTTTACATTTTACTACGCTATGTTTTTACAAATGTAAGAAACCAGGACAGACAGAAGTTTAAATTCCCTACGTTAAATCCAGGACAGTATTGTTAAAAATGCAATCCCCTTGAAAGCCATGACAGTCTCATCGTTAAACAGTTCTTATCATTCTCTCCTTGACGCACAAGATCCTATATCGTTCCCAAATTATGCATCCTTACGAAAAATCAATGAGAGTTAACAATCAAACAAATCTGACATTAAATCGCGCGCTTTCCGTTGAGTGTTCTCGCCCCCCCCTAGTTTAACGTGTCAATCATCCTAAATAATTACCCTACCTGTACCCAGACCAAAATAGGAAGGAATTTTCTATTCATGTAAGATCAGAGAGAAACATCAGTGGGTCGGGGCTGGGCAAAAGGATAGAAGGTTAGCAGCCCAGCGCCCGACCAGATCCTGGCCAAACCTTGCCTGAGCTGATGGTGAGGCTGCAGGTGGCCAGCGGCTGCTGCTGCTGCTGACATGGCTGGCGGTCCAAGGTGGTCGGCCGCCCTGGTCTCCTCCGTCGCTGCTGGGTTGCACACCCCGACTCTTCTTTCAGCGCCGCCCGGTTGACGGGCCGTGCGGCCGGCAGGGCCGGCCGGGCCCCGCCGATGGCCTACCGCTGCTGGTGCACACAGAAAAATATTCCAGAATTGGAGGATCAAAAGCATGCGATAGCATGCTTTTGCATCCGGAAATTCCCATTGGTGGGTCGCTGAAAAAAAGTTCGGCTGAACCTGTTTGTCAGTGAGTGAGTATGTGAGTGAGTTTGTCCAAGCTTTTTTGGACCTGGAGTCAAAATGGGTGGACCGATCGGGACGAAAGTGGGACCGTTTGATTCGTCTCCGGCGAGGTAAACTTTTGGTGCTGGCCTCGGTTCGCTCGGTGCTTCGTGGCACATGCTATTCCGCTTCAAAGTTTCGGTGACACGAAATTTTTTGTCAAGGCTACAGGTCAACCCGAGGTCACGGGCAAAGCCATACTGGCGGGACACATCGGTAACACCTTGAACCAGTTTCCAGGGGGGTCACCGTCTGCGAGGGGTGCAGGCTGCACGTGCTGGGGTCGGAAAACCGTTTTGACGTGAGGTCCTCTGGCTCAAAGAAATTTTAAGCTATCAACCTCAAAATCGGTTCAATGGTAGTCCCAGGCAAGGCCTCCAAAATAATGCACATTTGGTTGAGCTAAACTCTGTGGTGCATGAGCTATGCACGTGCAAGCCGATTGCACCCCTTCGTACGTTGCCACGCCTGCAGGGTAAACGGCAGCTCTAACTGGTTCAAAACTTGCAGGTCATAAGAAGAATACATTTGATCACGACATTCCGGCGAGATAATATCCGAGGGGTGCAAGCTGTGCGTGCGGGGGCGGATAACGGTTTTGACGATGGATCCTCTGATCCCGGGAAACGTCGAGCTAGCGACACAAAAGTCGGTACACTGATAGAACTAGACACACGCTACAGGATGCTATGAAAATGCCTGCACTGTGGTGCCTGGGACATGAACTATGCACGTGCAGTTAATTCATATCTTACTGTAGGTAGATCTCCACATGAATCTCACGTGCTTTCAAGCATTTCATGGATGTTTCAGTTGGTTTTGCAGTCCATACTCAGTTCCATTCCTCCAATTCTGGCCCAAGGCAACGCACGAGCGCTGCCGGCATCTAGTAACACCGTTAGCGGTGTAATTGCACAGTACATATCTGAGCACTTGAGGAAAGTTATTTTAGTCCCTTCCCCGCTTAAAGGAAAAGTGCCACCTTCTTGAAATATGAAGATATCGTTGGTTTTTATTTTGACATTATTATTTTCCATTTTCTTTTCAAAACCGGTGCCAGAAGTGCATAATTCGCTAAAAAGTATTTCAAACTATTTAACATATTGGTACTATGTTTATACTCTCTACCGCAGCTACTGTATGATGTCATAGCAATGACGTCACACTCAAGCCAATCAGCCTTGAGGAGGATAGACTCGTCGGACTGTAGCGGTTGTAAACAACTTGTCGCCCCGTGTGTCTGCCCGTGGCGCTAGTTATCTGTCGAAGGTAAGGGTGAAAGATGGATATAATGGCCATGGAACGCTATTTTAGGATTATTGGTGAATAGCAAGAATATAGTTTTGGTGGTTTGAAATTGTTTGTCCTCAGTGATTGGCTTGATTCTCATTTTGCGGCATAAGCGGCTGTTTGGTTACATTGCATTTTTTATGATTGTGTAATTATTATGATTATGTTCCAGCCTGACGGCTACGCGCCCTAATCCTCGAAGAAGAAGAAGAAGATGATTATGTTCCTCCAAAGTAGACATCACATATCAATCTCAAAGGCAGATCATCTTCTTTTCATGCCTATAATTTTCTTCAAGAATATTAATAAAAAATATTCCATTTACCCCTGCCTATCATATATCCCATGGAGCTGCCGGTGGAAGTAGGCATGCAATGTGACCTAGCATTGGCGATGTGGTTAATTAGCTTTAAAGTACTATGGAATGCTAAAGGTCATCATTTAGAATGGTTTTCAAAACATTCCACTAGGAAATATTCATTGAAACCTGAAAATTACTTACAAAATGTAAATGTATAGCCACGTCTCAAGAGCATTCAGCCGTCTTCTCAGTAAATATATAATGAAACATAATCTTACCTGACCTAGCCTTACCTACAACCTACAACATACGGCATTGGTAAAGCTGGCATCACTGTCAGCGTATATTAGTTTGGTAGGTTGTGGGTAGGTAGGTTGCAGGTCAGTACAGGCGCGGATACAAGGGGGGGGGGCCATGGGGGCCATGCCCCCCCCCCCTTGGCCGATTTTTTTCAAAAATAAAATAAAAAGTTAAAAAGCTGAAAAGGGGGCCTCCTGAAAATAAAGTGGCTATTCATGTTGAGATGTTGCCTGAACAGCTAAATAAGCTCAATAGACGCAGTTTTTTTTGGGGGGGGCCCAACAAGTGGGAAGATGGGGCCTCCAACAGGTGGGATTATGGGGGCCTCCTGGTTTCTAATGGCCCCTCCCTTGGAGATTTTCTGAATCCGCCCCTGGGTCAGTAGGTAAGGTTAGGTTAGGTTAGATTGTTTTTAAGATTCCTTTTATCTACACATTTACCGGTTAGCGCTGACGGTGACACCAGCTTTACCGATACCCAACCTACCACCTACAACCTACAACCTAAGACCTACATTCAATGGTGGCGGGTGGTGATAATTGTTATACCTATATGATAATACTGGAGATAAATACCATACAGATTAGCTGGTATCCATGACACACTTTCTTAAGAAGAAGGTCTTCTATTAAATCATGTCTATTTTATAGGAATGAAATGATTTTTGTTGTAGTCACATTCCCTACTCTGACCATCATGTCTGATTATTTCCAGTTACCACTGACAATGCCCAAATCAAGAACAACAAAGGCCCAAAGGTTGCTGTTTGGTAGTGCGCAAAGCTGCTGGTAAGTGGCATCAAAGGATAGGATGTTGTTGTTGTTATGGGTTAGGGCGCGTAGCAACTTGGCTCTTGCGTCCAACATCAAAGGATAGGATGTGCTTTGTTATTTCCAGGCACGTAGCCAGGATTTTGCTCAGGGGGGGGGGGTCACAGGTTGTGGCCTAGTGTCGTACCCCCTCCAAAAAAGGAAAATTTCTCTGATTAGGCCCACTATTTTGGGGGTGTGTCACAGCTGTTTTTATTTTTTAAAAAAATCGCCATCACCGAGGGGGGAAGGGGCACGAGGGCATGGCTCCCGTGCCCCTCCCCCCTCCTTGGTTACGTCCTTGGTTATTTCTGAGAGTTTGGATATCACAAAGCTTTAGATATAAATTAGAATGTAATAAGAAGCTTTCAGCATTGCACCTTTCCAGACACTGATAATTCATTTGCCTTTATTGTTTCAAATGTCAATTTTCAACACAAAAAAAGTTGAAATTATTAACTCAAATAATTGCAAATATATACTTTGGTAATTTGCCTTTCGCATCACTATCAACAAAATAATCAAGGGTGACTAAATATGAAATGTTCCTGCATGATCTTCATCGTGAACAATTGTCAAGGTATGATGTTTGCGTGTTGAAATGTTATAAAGAACTTATGTCATAAAAACACAACTTGTAAAATTGTGTCTTTCCATATTATTCTGCAAGTAAGCCTTGGAAGGAAGAGACACTATTCCGTCCTACAGAAGCCATTTAGAAATGTGTGACATGTTCAGCACTTTGAGTCAGTCGGTGCCCGGACCTCAGTCGGCTGTATGACCGTCTCCTCGTCCTCTTTTGTCGGCTCCGCCCCGTGCTGTTCTATAAGGGTGTCTGACCCGCTGCCGCTATCCCCACTGTGAGGTCTGACCCGCCGCGCGCTGTCACCACTGTCGGCCCTCTGTGTGCGCGGCAGGTGGTGGTGGACGTCTCTGCCCTGACGCGCGGCGTGCGTCTGCTCAGTGTGGAGGTGCCGCTGACAGCGGTGCCGGCCGGACCGGCTGCCTCTCCGGCGGCCGACATTGAGCGCGGCACGTGTCCGCCGCCGTTCGGGCCGCTGCAGCTGCTGCAGTCGGCGGCGCAGCTGTCCGTCTCCGTGTCGCTGGCCGTGCCGCTGGACCTGCTGCCGCGGCCGGCGCCGGCGCGCTGCGCCTACGGCCGCCTGCTGGCCGTCGTCTCGCAGCGCGGCCTGCAGCGCAGCGGCGTGCTGCAGCTCATCCAGCAGCTCAACGAGCCGCCCAGCCCGGCGGCGGCCGAGGGCGCCGCGCCGCGCCGGCCCGGCGACGTCAGCACACCTGGCATCAGCGGCTTCTGCCTGGCCGACCGTCAGCTGCACCTGCTGTTCGCCGAGGGGCGCGCCGACGCCGAGCTGGAACAGACGGCGGCCGCGCCGCGCGCTCTGCCGCGCCGCGACGCTCGACTCTGCCACCACTCGGGCCTATACTGTTTAGGGAGCGCCTGTACCCGCGCCAGCCGGCCGCGTTCCGCGTGCTCGAGGACCGCCCGCTACGCGCCCAGCTGCTCGACACCCGCCTCTACACGTTACAGAAACAGGAGCCGGCGCGCGCCGTCCGCGCCATCAGAGAGTGCTTCCGCACGCAGTGGCTGTCGGAAAATGAACCTGCTTCCCAACGAGGCCGGCCTGCAACAACTGCTGGCCGGCTGTTGGCCGAAAAAAAAACGCCTTCAACCGGATGTCAGTTGTCAAATCAACGCGTATTAATGCATTCACTAGGATGGGCTTACGTAAAGCTGTAGAATTGCAAATATATAATGGCACTGTTTTTGATCCGTTCGGTATGCATTGGTATCATATGATCTCTCATTCACAGACGATCAGCTGCGAAGACCCAGATCCGTAGTAGAGGGCTCATCGAGTCCGGGTCCAGCTCCCCGTACTTCCTCCACTTTGGAAACACCGCAGCGCAGATCACAGTTATACATAATATTTAGTTTTCATTCACTTCATAACCGAAGGTTGTTTGATAGGTGATATGCTGCTTGAGTTTCACCCCGGTATATCAATACGAAGCTTCCGTCCCTGCCACATACCAGTGAAGGAGGCGGCGGCGGCGGCGGCCGGGGCCGGGCTGCCCTGCCCACCGACACAGTCTGTGAAATGCCCCAACAACCTTTAAAATTCAACAGGCTTCATAAATGTTTTTTTTTTGCACCATATTTTCTCGCGTATATGAAAGCTCTAAAATGTACAATATTCCTTTCAGCCACAAGCGATATAAAAGCTCTACAAAACGTCATGTCTCTGTGTGCAAGAAAGACACATATATTGTGTATAATCGAGCGTACATGATCTGCAGCGCTGCGGAGGGCTGCTCGGTTGCCGCTTTTTACCAGTCGGCTCTAGGTCGGACATATGGGTAAACAAAATGGAATAGTAATATTAAACAATGCTACCTGCTGATGCTACTGGGCCTCTCATTGGTGAAGAACTGGCAGCCAGCCAGCGTGTTTTTGTGAGAACTGTTTTAACAGCAGCAACCGAACGGCTCTCGGGCCAGCGACCAGTGAGCGTAGACAGCACAGCGCTCCGTTAGGCATCGGCGGGCAAGCACGCATTAGCTGTGGACGGACCGGCCGCCCGAACATATTTGTCGGTATCGAAAGTATCGTGAACCAAATGACTGCTAGCGAAAAAAGGACTGCCTCTCGTATCCATGAAAACATGTGTTCTACAAAAGTACATAATTGCTTAGTTGTCGCCAGTCACTCATTGCACCATGGCGTCAGTGTGGGGCCGCGCCCCGAATCATCTCAATCGCCAGGCAAAGCATCTCAATCGACAGGCACATGGTAGTCCAGCTACGAATCCGAGCCGCGGCATCCCGTCTATGTATCTACATTACACCACAATCGAACACTGTCGGGCCACCCGAGACAGCAGTCTCCAATGTAACATCAAAACCCGCCACTCGTCTAATATCAGAAAAATGAGCATTGAGTACCTACCGAATATCGACTACAGAAGATTACAATGGGGTGCAGATCTAGCAAGAGTGTCGCGGTTCGTCTCGGCACGGCTTACAGGCCGCCGAGCCCGCGCAGGTGACCGCCAGCTCCACCTGTTCCACCTCCGGCGCGGAAGCTCGATCACAAGACTGACCTCAGTCGGCGCTCTGTGCTCGGCACAGGGCGACCGGGTCAGGAGCGGGCCGCTGCCGCCAGGGCCGCGGCCACCAGCCACGCGGCAGCGCCCGCGCATCGGCAGCCACCACCCGCTCAGCCCAGATGCGCGCCACGGCGTCATTGGGGCTTCCCTGAGCAGGATCGAACCAGAGCTGCATGCACGGCTCCGTATCCGCCGTGAACTTCCACGAGTGATCCCACACCTGAAAAAGGCGCACGGTTTGCGTCACAGCTCGGCTCACTTTCACAGTCCACGCACCGGCAGCAATTAAGGGCTACTTAGATAGTGTGCTAATAGAGCGCAATCACTTAGCTTAATCCATATAGTCAACCATGAATTGTTAATTACGAGCGAGCGAGCGAAGCGAAGTCTTTTCAATATCACGGAAAAAGCTCAGTATGAGCGGCCCGACCCGGCCCGGCCTGTAACGCTTTTGAGAGGCTTATATCTCAGCAACCGCTGGACCGATTGGCCTGCGGTCTTTTTTTTTTGTTGGCTAGCCCTATTCCCTCTACCCCGTAATTGACTACTCTTGATACATTACAGGGACCGTCGTGGCACGTGCCACGTGAAAAGTCAAGGGTGTTATTTGTCAAAAGTTGCAAAAGAAGTGATTTTGAGAGGCTCATCTCAGCAGCCGCTTGGGCGGTCTTGCGGTAAATTTTGTAGGGTAGCTGCACCCCTTCAACCAAAGGTCGGATGCTCTTGATCTATGTGAGTGACCCCCACTGCACGTGCAAAATGCAAAAAGAAGAGGTGCCGAATTTGTTCCCATTTCAATAACTCTGTAATTACTGGGGCGATTTAGCTGAAACTTGGCATACAGGTAGGCAGTAGGCACCCACCAGGCAATGCATTCCCATATGTTGCGGTTAGGGTGCTACTGCTTAGTGTATTATGTGTAAAATAAAGGACGCTTGAATCTTACCTGAGTGATGTCCATTTCTTGATCACTTTCATCTGTGGGTGACCGAGCAGCGACAGCAACCCAAGGCGTATACGGAATCTGTAAAAAATCAGCACACCGTTACCACATGTTTTAATAAAACTTACCTATAGGGAGGTAGCATAAAATACAGATCAAAACAATAACATACAAACATACAGATATTCGGTTAGGTTGAAATGGCTAAAAAATATAAAAAATAAGGGCAAGGTACTAGGGCTGTAAAGCTGTAAGGGCTCGGTACTAGTAATAATTTTTGGCTAAAAATATCACAAATAAAGACTCTGCACTAAAGCTGTAATGTCTGGTACTAGGAATAACTTTAGAGTGAAGTGTTACAAAAACAATATTCAAAGTCTTTTGATAACTTTGCAGGCATTTTCATCACTTTTAAAAAATAACTTACATTCTGATCCGGCACAGCACTGTTCTTTAGACGCAAACGTTTTTGACTGTGCTTATCATGGTGCGCACTTCTTGTTAAGTTTAAGTGGTCATGTGGTCTTGGCTCATTGGTCATGCCACACACCCTCATCCACTTTTCTCTGTACTTCTTTTTTTAGCGGGAACCTAAAAGTAAAAAAGGGTCAACACATGCTTAGTCCATGCAACACATACTCTGTGTATTAAAGGGACCCTCCCACCTTCAAAAAAGTTTATGAATTGGCATGAAAGTGATGTCGCTCGGTTCAGAAAGAGCGAAAACGAATATCTACCAAATTTCACCGAAAAATATTCACCGGTTTTCAAGATATTAGACTTTTACTTTTGTTTACTTTTTGGGGATCTCCGCTGTTTCTAGCGACTTTATTTTAGAAGTGCGGCGTTTGCGGCAGATGTTGCGCGCAAATAGCATATACCACCGCGTGCTACAAAACGTTTTAGTCAAACATTTAAAAATCGTTAGATATTTGCGCTGACGTCACACATTCAGAGGGGTATTCCTAAGCATTAGCCCCTCTGAATCAAAATGCTGCAATTTTGAAATTCAATATTTCCGAGTTAAGGCATTTCTCGATGTTGTGAGTGCCGAAACCGGTAATTGTGAGCCAGGGACCCCATTTTGGCTATCTCAACTCAAATCTAATGTTAAGGTGGGAGGGTCCCTTTAAGCTGAATAACTCCACTGAGCCCAGTTTCACCAAGTGCGGTAAACTTAATTTTGGGGTAGTTTTTGTAGTTAAGTAGTGGGGTAGTTTGGTAGTTTACCCCAAATTGAGTTTACCGCACTTGGTGAAACTGGGCTCTGGTGAGTTTCCTTTTCTTGTCAGCACATAAGTGAAAGAAAACTGTGTAGACAAGAGATGAACCAAACCCCCATGGAAAGGTAGGTGTTACCACAACCAGGAAATGGGATTTGAAGGGCTGGATAAATGTGTCTGAGTTCTGCCTTTCAGCCAGACTGGAAAACATCCATACACTACGCCGGATGCCCGTGAGCCCCTCATGCGCCAAAATTTGAAGCAAGCAATTTTGAGCTGAAATTCCAGTGCATGATTTCCACTGAAAGTTGGGTGCCTGTTTGCACCAAAATTAAGCCACTTTTACATAAAGCACATGTGCATATCTACCGACCAAGGCTATATCAACCAGACAGATCGTTCCGGGGCCTCGGAGTCAGACGCTCTTCCCTTTCTGAGCGTCTGAATTAGTTAATGTTCCCATGAAAACCCAATACCACAATTTGTGTGGCACACTGTAGAATCTTAAGGTGAAACAAGGCCCAGGCCGGAAGTTCCGACTCTCTTCAGACCTGCCAGCGCCCGCAGGGCAAGTCTGCTGCTAGATTGACCACAGCGTGTCAAAAAATTCGGTGACAGCCATTTGCATAAACATTATGCGCCATGCAGTCACCCTGCGCCTAAAAATTCAGCTGCCACCATGCGCTGAATTTGACGCATGCAAAATTATGCTGGATGTGCGATGAAATTTTCGGGGCAACGCCGCAATCACGCCACTTCGCATGACATATTCGGCATAACTTGCGTTTTTTTATCCAGTCTGGCATTTCAGTTGTGAAAGCCTGAACAGTTCAAAAGGGTTTGCTAATCCAGGGGAGAGTTCTGTGAAAACAAAAGTAATAGAAGAGCCATTGCAATAAATATGAATTTAGGTACCTACCTAGGTACCTAGGTACTTACTTGTGCACAGTCACACGCATATCAGTCCCGACCCGACGTAGGTCGTTTGCTCCGCGGATCACGCACTTCTTCATCGTTATTATAGGTATTTGTTCGAACAAAAATGCCCTGATTTCGGATAGGAGCCACGGTATAAAATATGGTATACTGCCTTGCGTAAGATAAAAATGCATTTTAGCAATTGGCTACCAAACGAGATGTCATCTGTTCAGGGCATAGCATAGGTTTACTTTCATAGACCTCATGAAAGTAGCTCATGAAACTCATCACCAATCAGCGCGACGGATTTCAAGATTCGATTGCGGATGTTCATCCGCCGGCCGATTGCCAGAACAGACAACGAAAAATAACGCAACTGCTCGTGGTCTGCTCGCTAGTACAGGGATCCGTGCCTGATCAGTACTGCTGCAAGCTGATTGGTTAAAAACCAAAGCCTCGCCGCGGGTGGCTGTATTGTCGGATAAGAACGCATTCCTGGGATAAGAACGCATTCCTGGCATATTTTCTTTTAAAATTGCCGATAACTACGAATGGAGGCCGAAATCGGCCGTAAGGAA